TCTTGCAGTATATTATAACTTTCACAGTGTGCTTTAAGTTACCTTTCCAAGACTCTCTCTAAATTTTTTGACATTACTGGTAGGATACTGATTGGTCTAAAATCCCTTAAGGCAGAAAGGAAAGATACTTTAGGAAACGCAATTACTTTAGCCAAGCAATTACTTTAGCAATTACTTTAGTATTTTTGTGCAAAACATACTGCCCCGAGTTAACTCGTACTAGTAAGGCAAGCGGTTAGAACTGCAACGGTGGATTCTGATGGTATCTCAGTCTGGATGATTGACTTGTATACACCTTTTCTCATTTCTTATATGACTCACGGAATAAACGTTGCTATTCATCAATCAGTTTTTCCGGATGCCTGGAAAATGGCTAAAGTAATTGCGTTTCCTAAAGTATCTTTCCTTTCTGAAACGCACTTAATGAAAATATTAATGTTTATTCAATAAATTTTGTTGAATATAACGTTGAAGAAAATCTTAATCTAGAAAACATTTCATTCACAAGTTGTTCCATTTAAAGCAGTTGAATAAATAGTATAATTAGCAGAAATGCAATCTTGTTTCCATTCAATAATAGCTACTTCACACATCATTGATCCAAATTTTTCAAACGCTTTCCAATTTCTATTTGGAAAACGTTTTGAAAACATTGTACTTACAAAATTTTCACGATCAGTAACATTTTGATATCGGTTAAAAGCTTCTGTAAGAATCGGTTCGATGTTTTTTTCCATTTCGTCGTTCATATTAAATGAGATGGTTGAAACCTGTTAAATAGAAATTGATTCAGTAATTTAGTGTAGTAATATTTATACTTACCTCTGTTTCTGAACAATTTGAATCATTTTCATCAATGAAAGATCGTTTCGATGTAGGCGCACAACCCACGTGTTTGTTTAAATGATAAAAACTGATTAATAAGAAAAAAAGAATTAATTTTAAGGATTTCATGATTCAAGTGTTGTGTTTAAAATTTTAAATTAAGACGAGAAAGTGATAAAGTTTTAATGATAGGATATAAATATTTCTTGAAAGTTTATCACAAACAATGAACCTTAAATTTTTTTTGCTACGATTAAATTGAATAAATAACAAAATGCGTAGTAAAGTTTCTATATAGTGTTTGAATCTTACCGAAAAATGATTGTTTCAAAATTAATATCTCAAAAACTAAAAGATATTTTGAAAATTCGTTCATTGGAAAGGTTATAATTGGTATAACAAATGCTGATAATTTCATAATGATTTGTTGAACTTGCAATTTAATATGATTTTTTAAAAATCTGTGAATAAACTGTGTCGTTTATAATACGAATGGCGCAATTTAGCTGAAATTCTTGGTGTAGCAAAAAGAACAGCATTCAGATGGGTAAAAAATCAAGAAGAAGAAAAACCAAGAGGAGGAAAATAAAAATTACAGGTGAATATCACCGTTTCTTTGAATTTCAAATTGAAGAAAATCCTAAAATCACACTTAACCAGTTGCAAGAAAAATTACGAAATGAGTTTCAGCTGGCCTCATTTTTACATTAAAACAAATACGTTTTGAACCGGAAAGAACCAAGACCGCCGAAGTGAAATCGAAATCAGCTTGAACTTCAAAGTGAAAACACGCCCATAAAAAACTGCCGGTAGCCGAGGTGCAAATGTGCATCTTATCGGATGTATCAATAACTTGGGATTGATTTATCATGAATTAAGCAGTTTACTAGGTAATGCTTAAGGAGAGCTCAAGATAGCTATCAATGTTCGGTGGCTTTAGCCATTGTGGTGTTGATGAGGTGTTTGAAGAACAAGAATTTCTTCACTATAAACTTGTAAGGCTAAGTCCTTACAGTTCAGTGCTAAACTCAATTGAACACGCTTAGTCAAATTTGAAAGCTGGTGTAAAGGCTGACTTGGCAAATAAAATTACAAATATTTTGGAGGGAAATGACCGAGAAAATTTGTCTCAAACAGAGTACAAAATTCGCAAATTGGAAAATATACATAATTAGGAACAATATTCCAATAATTAATGTAACTATCTGTAACAGATTTGGAATTCAAAAGCACATCACCTCTATTTTAAACATGCCACATTTTGAGTTAACAATACTGTTTATTACCAATTTATGCCAATTATTGGTTTTGTTTAATGCTATTTTGAACTTGAAAAGGTATAAATTAAATATCTACATTAAAATACACATTAAACTAAAAAAAAACTTTTTTCTTTGTTTCGAAGGTGGCATTACCCAAAAATAAAAATCGCACGGTTTAAGATCAGGAGAATTGGGAGGCCACGCAAACAATTCCAAATCTCCTTCAGCACGACGGCCTATGCAACGGCGAGGAAGTTCCTCGTTTAGGTATACATGATGGGAATTACCCGGTATTTTTATTCGTGTTTATTCGAAAGTCATAATGTCGAGTTTCTGTTGCTTAAGTAAGTAAAGATAACAACAAATACAATAACTTAACAAAATAAAACACTAAAAATGTGGACATCTACCTATAACATTTAGGTATTGATCTTTATTTTAATATACACAAAAAGCTATTTTAAAATCTACAGATCTTCTGATTCTGCTTCAGAATAAGATTTTGAATCAATCACAAATTTCCAAAAATTTTCTTTTCTCACATTATCATTTTCTCTGTCTGCATCAGATTCTTTGCCATTTTTACTTGATATATTGTTTAATTTCCAATTGTATGCAGTATGTGTCAGCTTTCCTGCTCTTTCACTTTCAAGATCATTGCGTCTCTTACTGTGTATCCAGCTGAAAGTACTGAATGATCTTTCAGTTGCTGCTGATGTGATTGGTGCTGAAAAAATTGCAATTTTGCTTAATGTAGTACTGCTGCAGAGTCCTTCCACCACGACAAGCCTGGCACTCATCGATGCCAGGCTTGTGTTTTCCATACAAATGCTGTAGTCCACAAACCTTCATTAGACTTATACTTTGTTTTATATCCAAATCAGCCATAACGTCTAGTTACATTTGCTTGGCTACAGTATATATACATTCCATGGCATCAATTTTCTCTTCGTGAGAGGATTGCATCCTTTCGAGGTTGGATCTAACATTGTAGCAGCCAAATGTATAGGGCCTGTAGCAAACTTCTTTCGATCTTTAATTTTTTTTAATCAAGTTCGAACGTATAGTAAAGAAGACAAAACTTGAACATTTCTCACTCCTTTTATAACATCGGATATTTAGATAATATTTTGTTTGATTGAGGGAGAACTTAAAATTTCATTGCATAAAAGATGCCACACATCCTAAAGGTACCAAGTGAGGATATATTTCTTTAAGTAGCCTAAACGCTTTTGTCATATTGGCCGCGTTATCACCAATCACTACAAGAAATGTGTGGGCTGGTCCATATTTTTCTAATATTTTCTCCATTTCGTCTCTAGTGTATTCCGAAATAATAATAATCATAATGCCTTTATTAATAAGTCGCAAAAAAGAAAAAAAATAATAATACATTCTTAGAAAATAGACTTATTTTCTGGACGAAGTTCAGTTTGGTTATTAACCAACTGCTCTTCCACTTAATCCAGAATATATAGAAAAAAAAAACAAAATACGACGACATGCCAGTATAAAGCAGGAGGGAGGATTTTAATTTACTCTAGAACGAAATACAGCTCAATCCCATAAGGTTCACTGGTAGATCATTGTACGTTTTGGCTATCTGGTAGGAAAAGGATCGGTGCGAGGCGCGGCTTGGTACCATCAATAATTGCAGCAAGTAAGGAGGCCGTTGACTTTTAATAATTTTATTAAGTTGCATGCAGTTTACGTCTGTTCTTCATGTTCAACCCAGTCTCCGCCAACGTATGACTAATATGGTCATACACTGTTGGAAATAATTCACTAGCACACCCTGTATAATCTGAACGCGTGTGTCTAGCGCAATAAAATTTGGTATAGAAGTAGTACTAAAGTAGTGTAACTTACTCTCACATGGAGAACGGCACAACTCTGCTGGGAGGAGAAACATCAATAGCGAGAGTATCCCCCATGAGCTTCGCGTACCATCGCTACACGATGTAGAATGGAGTCTATAAGTCGCTATATTGTAGCGAGAGGGATGGCCAACCATGCCACCTCAACTCGCCTCCATAGCTCCTCAACGTTAGCCGCGGAAGCCGGATAACGTAGAAGTCTCCGACCAGTCATGTCCCAAACATGTTCGATCGGATTCAGATGCGGAATCCGAGCTAGTCATGGAAGCATTCGTATACGGTGCTCTTCCACAAAGGTCTGTACAACACGCCCGATGTGCTGTCGTACGTTGTCGTGCATGTATAGCAGACCTGGGAGCCGCCGAACGTAGGGAAGCACAACGGACCGTAGCACCTCATCTACGTATCGTTGACCCGTCATGGTCTGCTATACACGCAGCAGACGTGTACGTCCACCATATGTAATCGCACCCCATACCATAATGCTCGGTTGTCGGTGGATAGGGCGTTCTTGCAGACAC